TGGTCAGCTTTTGCTTCTTGATTTTTCTTGGAATAGAGAGGTAAAAGTCCTTGATAAATATTTTTAGTTTTATATCGTTGAACTTTGAATGAGACAGTGTGGAGATGGAGGATTTAGGTTTTTTTAAGTAATTCGTGCCTTGATGCCAGTTTATTATTTCCAGTCAGACACTGAGATTTCGTCATGCCACTTGAATGTAACAGACTTGTTCTTATGACTGCAGGTACTCCATCCCTCCAGAGCATGGGAAGCGACTGGAGAGACTTGCAAAAGGTAACTGGGCAATTCTTTTACGTCCTGCCCTTTTGGGAGGTGGGACACACAGTTGCAACAGGTTTCAGCTCTTTTTGGAGTACCCCGTGCCTGTAACATTTACGAGATTACGACTAAACTGATAATTTGCCTTCTGTAATACAGATTGTATTGCTTCTGAGTGTTTGTTTATAGTGCACATGCAAGAGAAATGTCACGTTACAAATACTGCAGTTGTGGTCTGTCTAACCTTTAATGAGAAAATCCTTAGCTATTGATTATTAGAACTGGAAGGTTATAGCCAAGGGAAGATACTTCTGTGTGCAGTCTCGTGCTCTTTTTAACTCTGGATAAGGTGGTCCATACTTTTATGCCTAGGGAAAAACACTGTTTAGACAGTAACTTTTCCTAAAAATTACTGCAAAATTAACTTATTTCACAGCAGAACAGTAACATCTCTCCTTGCCTTTATTTTAAACAGGTTTCTTTCCAGGAAGTGCCCAAAGCTGTGAAGCATTTCTCCGTCACAAGATGACCCTCATCTCTCCATCAATTCTGAAGAAATACGGCATCCCATTTGATAAGGTATAGAAAAATAATCATGGTTATACCAGCTGAGTCAGGAGGCTCTTGCAGCCCTGTCACATCTCTAACAACAGCCAATAGCAGATGCTTAGCGAGGAAAACAGGAACAGGGAGGGTATAAGGCAATTCTTTCCCACTGTATCTCCATTTATCTGTCAGTTGGGGTCTGAAAGAGATTGGGACAGAAAAATCTGTCAAGGACTCTTAAAAACAAAGGCTCTGTCTTCTGATTTTTAATTTAAACACTTTACACAACTTCCTGTGTTAACTTCACTGCTTAGCTGTGTCATTCAGTGAAGAGAGATTGTTCTTTTTTTGTTTCAGACATTTCCCCTGCTAATTCAGTTTGTTGTGAGCTGCTTCCCCAATAGAAAATACAGCTTATTCTCTCCTAATGTTTTTCATTACACTAATAGTTTCTTAGACTTTCTTACTTTCTAAGGTGATAACCTGCCACTCCCCCTCCCCACAGCACGCATGGAAGATGTAGTTTTTGAGTCCTTATTTAGAGGCACTGTCACATCTGCGTGGGCAGCTGAGGGGTTTTGTTGTCAAGAACCTTTGTTAGACAGTGGGGAAATGTTGAAGAGCAGCAGTGGAAGGCTGACTGAGGGTTGTACTTGAATATGAGCTGCAACAGAAGGCAGTAGTAAATTTTCAGGTTTTGTGTGCTTAGAAATTTTCCTTGGCTCTCGATGCTGTTCAGGCACTGCTGTAGCTGATACAGATAAGTGTCTTTGTGACCTTCAGATAGCTTGTCAGAGTACTGCATGTGTATAACCACTTCTGTGCTATTTTGACCGGTTGTGTTTTAGTAAAAACTCTCGAGTGTTGCTTTTCAGTAAACAAATACTTATCATAAGTAGGAAAACAGTGAAGATAAATATCAAGTCTGTCCATTGCAGCGAGTAACTCCAACCACCGTCTGTGGCTGGGGCTTTCAGATATGCTCTGTGAATTGTACAGGACCTCCTTTTATCATACCCACCAAGTAGACACTCTGGTTGTAAATAACACTGTGGTGTCTCAATTGTTTTCTAGGTGACACAGGAGGCTGGAGAGTTCATGATAACCTTTCCTTATAGCTATCATGCTGGCTTTAATCATGGCTTTAACTGTGCTGAATCTACCAACTTCGCTACTCTTCGGTGGATCGAGTATGGGAAGCAGTCTGTACTGGTAAGTGGTCTGTTGCCCTCTTATTGTGTACAAATAACCTAATGCTCTGCGGCTCATTAAGCCCCCAGTATTTCTCTAAGGGAGTGAATTAAGTGCTTTGTCCGTTTAAGATGCGATGCTTGCTTTCTGCTACAGTAACAGTGTCCAGTCAGCCTCCTGTTTCGTGTCCTTGTTTCAACTATGGGTAGCATACAACATGTTTTCTAGCTTTGTGTAGAACAAGTGAGGCTGCAAAGAAGAGCAGGGGCCTGGTTGTCTTTCCAAAGATGAAAGGGTGTGCTTGGTGGTCAGGATTTTTAGTATTTTGTTTGATATTTTAACCATTATTTCTTGACTGTTTAGCCTGGAAGTCTGACTTTGTGTTGTGGTTTATGCAGTTGCTCCATCACCTGATACCTCCTCCCCACTTGGGCAGGGGTGTTCGAAGAAAGGAGATCCATGGGCTGAAACAGAAGTAGATTTAGTAAAATAATAGATATCAATAACAGTAGTAATGTAAAGTACACAGAGTTATATTCTGCCAGTACTGGGGGGATAGGCCTCAGGAGTAGGATGGTAGACAAGTCCCTCTCAGGATGTCAGCTGTGGAAGAAGGAAGAAGAGGGGAGAAAAGCTGTCCCTAGCAAACTTTCAGTTTGCAGTGAATGTGGCATTTATGGTATGGAATAATGGTAATTGGTCGGCCTGGGGTCAGCTACCCTGGGTTTCTGCTTTCCCCAGCCCCTGCACTTGTTTGTCTCAAGATCACTGAAGACTGTGACCATCCCATACCAGCTTTAGCTGAAAACTATAACAAAGTCTTGTCACTTTGTTCCCATGAAATAGTGTTGTAGTCCTCAGAAAATTGCAGTTTTCCTCAATAGAAAACTGACTCTAAAACTCTGTCCCAGTAAACAAGGACATTTTGGTAACTTAAGTCACTTATCAAAATAAATATCTTGGCTAAACTTTTAGACCGGATAGTGTTGTGTCCCTGTGGACATGCCTTACAAACATGGGTTGTGTTTTTAGAAGTTACAGTGAAGTGGAAGCTTTGAAGCACCTGTTGTTACCGTGGCTGGATGAGGGGAACCTTTACTGCTCTGGGTACACCCAGAGGATGTATGGCTCTGACTTCCTCATTATAATCTCTGATTTTGCTGGCTATTTTTGTATGGGCTCATTTTAAAACAGTGAGCTTCTACCAGCAACTCTGGCTGGTGAGCTTGCTTTCTTAGTTATTGTGATTAACATCTGGTTTTCTGTTTCGTTGTTTTTGCTGGCTTTTCTGCCCGGTTTTTAGTAACTTAATATATACCCTTTTGATTTCCTGGGAAGGAGCCTTGAGGGTTCTGAGGCTCAATTATGTGCAACTGTGGGATTTTCTTCAGTTAAGTTCCTGAAAGCAAAATGATACAGGAATGCAGGGTAGAATTGTTGGGTATGTGGCCTTACTTGAATATTTTTTGTGACTTCAGTGCTCGTGTCGGAAGGACATGGTGAAGATCTCCATGGATGTGTTTGTGAGGAAGTACCAGCCAGATCGTTACAAGCTGTGGAAAGCCGGGAAGGACGTGACTGTCATCGACCACGCTACAGAGGCAGCAGAGTTCCTCAAAGGGGATCTCATGCAAAAAGTCAAGAATGGGAAACAGTGTGCTGAGGAAATGGAAACGGGCGATGCATGTAAAGAGGAGGCAGATGGGGATGAGACAAAAAGGTAGTGCTTTATACAGTCCTCTGCTTTTTTTCTGTTGGATTGTTAGAAATTAAACCCAGCTGCAATTGAACGTGTGCCATTCTGATAGAACAGCAGCAGTCAGCATTAGCAATAATTTGCTTTTTTGTGAATAGGGTTTACTATTTCTTACTGTCTGAGTCCACACTGGTGATGGTCTGTGGTAGACAGAAAATGCACCGGCTTGGAAGGTAGTTCTTCATTTTTGGTCAGACATCCAAGACCTGGATTGGAAGTGTGCACAGTACACTGGGACACCAGAAGAAAAAGGGGCTGTATTGGGATCATGGAGTGGTACTTGCTAGCAAATTCTGTTATCATCAGTGCTGCAAGCTGTGACAACAGTGTGCAAGTCCTGGTCGCTGAAGGTGGACAGGCTAATTGTCTTACATTTTACAGTTCAATCTTTGTCAGCCAATGTCAGCTGCTATTCCTAAAGCTGTCTTTGGTGCAGTTCAATCTTTTTCAGCCAGTGTCAGCTGCTATTCCTAAAGCTGTCTTTGGTGGGGTTTTGTTGTTGTTTTGGTTTTCATCATTGGTTATTGTTGTTGTTCAAGAGGAAGAATGTTGGGCTAGAGCCTAGCTGCCCAGTACGTGATTAACAGATGCTGAGGAGTCATCCCTAAGGATTTCTGACCCTGCTTCGGTAAAGGCAAAGAAAGCACTTCAGGATAATTTGGAAACTCTTTGGCTTGCGTGATCCTGTCTCATAAGACACTGATCCAAACCAGGCTGTATTTTGTGCATCCAGACAGGAATTCAACACACTTATATGTTTGGTAACCTCATATATGGGTTTGTCTTCTGCAGCATCCCCAAGCATCGCATAGGAACAAAAAGGCACAGGGTCTGCCTGGAAGTGCCTCAGGAGGTAAGCGAGAGTGAAGCTTTCCCCAAGGAGGAGCAGTATGAAGCAGACATGGCAGAGCCTCGTGAGAGACCTACAAGTGAACTTGTGCCGCAGGGTGAAAAAGGGCTCAAGCTTCCAGGTAATGATGTGTCAGGCTTTATCCTGGTACGAGGGGACGGGATATTATTATTCAGGGAGAGAAGCTGCTAGAGCTGAATCTGGGGCACTCTTTCATATGATCCTAGTTGGCAGGATGTTTTCATGTCCATTTTGAGCCATGGCAAGCACTTCAGAAACTTAAAATCATGAGGCTTTTTGATTTTTTTCAAGACCAAAGAGTGCATCTAGAACAATTCTAGGTTACACCCTTTAGTTAAATTTGTCTGACACTGGTTTGAGTGTACGAAATAACCACAGCTTAAACTGTTAGATTTTGTGGCCCAGATGTGGATAATTCTCCAGTGAAAATTACATTAATAAAAAATGTTAGAGGAGAGCAAAGCTGTAGGCAGCCATCCTGTAGCTGCTTCAGTGACTGACCAGGTAGGTCAAGAGGATGTTGCCTTTCAGCTGAATTAAAGGGAACAGGAAGTATTGCACCAGACTTGCTTAAGAAATCGGTATTTCCAGCTTTTGAGCAAGGGGCTATGGAGCAGTACAAGAACAAGGCAGACATGTTGTGCCTTCCTCCAGTATTCTGTTTTCCAGCCCTTTGGAGCTTGTATTTTATAATCTTCTGTTGGTTTATGGGTTCTTATTTTTCTTCTGTTAAGTCTCCCATGAACCCTTGTAACCTCTTACCCACAGCGTCCTGTGGCCAGCAGCTGAGTTATTTAGCTACACTGTGTAAAGGATCATCTCTGTTTATTTTGAGCGCTCTGCCTGCTGGTTTTGTTTGATATACCTTAGTTCTTGCACTGGAAGAAGCAATGAGCAGATGCTTTTAATCCCTCTCTCTCTAAGCCACCACAATTTTATAGGTGTTTGAATTCATAATCTATTCTTCACATGACTTACTGTCATTTTTTTGTGTAGTAATTTGCTTTCCTGTTCGGCTTTGCGCAAATGTTTGCACAAATGTTCTCTCTGCTGCCCAGACTTTAGAAAAAGTCAGTATTATCCTTTCTCCTAGATCGCGTGGACTCAGCTAAATTTGAAGAACTGAAAACAGTGAAGCTTGAGGAGGAAGAAGAGGAAGAACAAGAAGCAGCTGCACTCGATCTCTCCATTTCACATGCTTCAAATTCCACTTCAGCATTGCCAGCTTCGAAGCAGAGTTCAGCTTCCAGCGTCCAGCCCGGCTCCCCTGCGTATTCTGCTTCTTCCGACTCTGAATCGACCGAAGCGTTGGCAAAGCGAACTCCTCCTGGGCCAGCTGGGGTGCTCACAGTCCATAGCTATGCTAAAGGGGACGCCAGCGGGTCTGACAGCGAACAGACTTCAGGGAAGAAAGCCAGTGCCACTGCCAGCGTGAACGAGCAGGAACTGGCAGAGGTATGAACGGCACCGGTACTGAAAATGCAAGGGCTGCAGTGCGTGCTCATGGATTTCCTCTGACACCGCTTCCTGCCTGGGCAGATCACATTTTCATTCCATTGGTGTTTGCATAGCAGATTGCTTAGTTGTTAATGTGCTTTTTAATACCTACGGGTTTTGCTAAACCGGCAAGAATTAAGATGAAAGTCTCCTACTTCTAGAAAACAAGGAGATCCCTTGTTTTGAGAACTTCTCTAAATTAAGTGTTTTAAGGGAAAAGGTAGCTGGGTGGTTTTGATGTGGTTGTGTTACAGGCTGATTCATATCTTTTTATAGACATAGACACCTGTTTGTACCTAGAATGAATCCAGTTCAATCCAGCCTTTATTAAGAGCACATTAATATGTTTGAGAGGTTTTTTAATATAAAATCACACACACATATATAAAAAAAATATGTACATCTGTGTGTCCCTTTTAAAAAAAGAAATAATGGGACAAAAGCTCATGGTTGGGAGAAAGTAAATCTGAGTGTCTAGGAAATGCCAGCGGATGTTTTATTAGACCACCCAAGAGAAGGCTGCAGTAGTTGAAATCTTACCTGCTGGTACCTTTTCAAATTATTTTGTTTCCCTCTTTGAATCTGTGTTTAGAGAGTGGGAGGCTGATAATGAGTTCTCATGGATTTTTAAACTAAAGAAATTCTGTTGCTGATGCTGATGTTTCCATTGCATACTCCATAGAGGGAAAAGGTGAAATTTTGAATGGATGGAGGCTGTTTTCCCCAGTCTGGTGTATTTCAAAACAATTTTTCCATCAGATGGTAACTGGAAGTGCTAATTTCCATCTGAATAAAAGCATTTCTGTTCCTTAAAAATCTTGTATCCAACTCTGTGTAGGAGATAAGAGATAATGATTGTCGTGCTCTTCTCTGGCTTCTTCTATGAAAAGAAGAAATTCAGAAAGACGTAAGATGCATTTAATCCAAGATTTGCTTCTGCTCTTAGAGGAATAGGAGATTTTAAAAAAAAAGGGGGGAGAGAGGCTCTTATCTACTGAGAGACTTCCTGGCCTGTTAAAATCATTGCCCTTGGTGCCTTGCTTGTCAGGTTATAGCAATTTTGTCAGTGTGTCATGTGTGTAAGGCTAAGGGAAGATGAAATAACTGTTGTAGTCTCCTTCACCCGGTCTGTCTGGAAAGACACCAGTGCAGGTGATAAGCAGAGAGGGTTAAAGTTTCCTTTAGCCTGTTAGTTTGAGATGCCAATGAACTCTGTAGTTCTTAATATTTTATTACTTTTTCTTTTTAACTTAACACACAAACTGAGGATTTCTCCAGAATTGGTCTTTGGTTGTTTCTGTCTCTTACATGATTCTTGTATGAACAGACTTGCATGCAAAGCTATGCTGGGACCTGTGAAAAGTTTCTATTCTAGTGGCTCAACAGAGCTAGCGGCTCTGTCTGGTTTTTCGTAGCAGAAGTGCTTGAAGCAGTTCTTTCAAAGACTTAAACTAGTTTAGAGCTGAAGTTAGTTTGTTAGAAATAAAATGATGGAAGCATGTGTGCATTTTGCAGGGCCTTCTCTAAGTTCAAAATAAATCCCTTTAAAAATAACGTCAGAAGGACACACATCAGTTGACTGCTGAATTCCTTCTCCTTGTCCAGGCAGCGAAGGAGTACCTGAGATCAATGAAGGAGAGCAAGAAGTCCAAGGGTCGTCGGCAGCCGCTGAGCAAGCTCCCACGCCATCACCCGCTCTTGGTTAAAGACTGCATTAGTGACGATGGTGAGTAAGCCTTGCGCTCTTTGGGAGTCTGTAGAGAGGCAATGAACAGTCAGCAAGTGACACCTCTGCATCCTAGACAAGGTGCTTATCTCTCTTTTTTTTGTGCTTGCATCATTAAACTTTTCTCTCAAGTGGTGTCTTCTTTCTCCGCTGTTCCATCCTCTGGAAAGTCACAGGTCTGAAAGGAAAGTTAAACTAGTGCTAGAGTCTGTTGCGTAATTGATGTAAATATTCATGATTTAAAAAGAAAGAAAGAAAGAAAATGAACCAAACATCCCAAACAACCCCACAGCACCAGATTCTTTGGCTGATAGCCTCAGTCTTGACGTAATTTGGAGCTGGTGCTGTTCTCACCCAATAAGTGCATCTTGTGTCTGTACAGTTGCTTGATTAGTAGAAGCCTCTTAAAAAGGAGACCAAGTTCTTGGCTCCCATTGCTCTTCTGTAAATCTGATTTCTGGCAGTCTTTCTGCCATCTCCATTCATAGCTTCTTGCCTTATTTAGTTTCATTTGCCAGAGGGGTATCTATAAATGGACTCATAATCACTGACTTAATGATCTCTTATTGCAGAGGCATCGGAGCAGCTAACTGCTGAAGAGGAGGCTGAGGAGACAGAGGCGTGGGCCAAGCCACTTAGCCAGCTGTGGCAGAATCGGCCACCGAATTTTGAGGCTGAAAAAGAATACAATCGAACCATGGCTCAGCAGTCTCCTTACTGTGCTGTTTGTATGCTCTTCCAGACCTACCAGGTATGTAGGCCAAGGCTGTTAATGTTACCATAGAGATGGCTGAATAGGTTGCTGCGTAGTTTTAAAAATGTGGGTTTGCGTATTGCCAGTTAACAACAGCAGTGTCAGCGCTGTGGCCTTCCCAGGGAGTTGTTCCAGGAGAGCACCATTGGGTGAACCTCACCACGCCTGGGGTTCCCAGGGGCTGGCACAGCTGCTCAGTTCAGAAGGAGCTGTTGTGTTCTGTGGCCTCTGCTAAAGCTGCAGAATGGAGCTTGGTCATTGCTGGAGCTATGAAATCCCGTTTGTCTTTTCCAGACTGACACCTTCACTTCTGCACTTGTTTTAAAAACACTTTAATTCCACTCATAGCACGTGGTCTTTGGGGAGCTGGCAAGGAAGAAAACCTTTTACTTAAAAGGATTTAGGGTTGTGTTTGTGGATGGCACAGATAGAAAGCTGTCTTTTCTTGGAGTATATCCATATTGACAGTAGCTATGGCATGTAAAAGGGCTTTACTAAAAGTGTGGCTGTGGCAATGCGTAGCTTGGGATGGGCTGCAGAACCCCTTTGTCATGTTGACTAAATGCTTAGGCAGAAATCTCACACTGAATTTGTTGTTGTGCCTGAGTTAAGTAATTGTAAGGGAGCTTGAATAGTTGTCTGATGGTGTGTTCCACCTGCAGCTTACAGATAGCTTGTCCCTTCCCATGTGCTAAGCCTGTTTGATTCATTTGAGATCACTGTATGCTTATGGTGGCACTAGAAACATGTTCACCACAGTTTTGGAAATAAAGACCTCATTTTTTTTTTGTTGAGGGTTTATATTGCATATAGTTCCCAATTTCCATGGAAACCATAGACCATAGGTTCAGTTTGATCTTCCTGCTTCTCCCTGAGAGTGGGTTCTTATTAGGACTGGAAATGCTACATAGAAGCTGCATAGTTCATAGGGATTTAGCTGGTGTATAAAGTAATATAAAGGTATATAAAGGTAACAATTTGAGGACAGTTTAAGTTCTGTTAGCTTCTTTTTTTGAGTTCTAAGCACTATTAAGGAGAAAACTCTAGCTGCAAGTTTTCAAATGTCTGTGGACAGCAGGCAGCGAAGGAGAAGCACTTCCAAGATTGGAGCTGTGGTTAGGGTCTTTGTTCCAACTTCAGAAAGTTTATAGCAAGTCTGGGAACTCACTTCAGTTGCCCGTTCAAATAAAGAAAATTGGCAGAAAATGCCAGACAAATATTCCCTTTTCCTTTGTGAAGAAGGAAAGTATCTAGCTGATTTTTCTTCTGCTATGTTACAGATTTCCCTCAGTCTTTAGTCTTTGCCTGTTGTGCAGTGTTCATTGTAGATTCAGAATCTGAATAAACAAGATCTGTTGAAAACCTGTCGGTTCTGTTCCAACTGTGATCCATACCTGGACTTTTTTTCCCTGCCTTTTGATGCACTGTAAGAGGGACAGTGCAGCTTCGTTCTGCTACTGCAATTTCTGCTAGTAATATTTCAAAAGATTAGGCAAGCTCCTTCTGTGGTGGCTTATGAGGTATAAAGGATGGTTTGAAACACTTCTTCAAAGAGAGGTTCATTTCTGTTTAGCTGTTAAGAAAGGTAACTTGAATGGAAGCATATATCTGGATTTATATATGGAATAATGGGTGAGTAAAGATGATGTAAGGTGGTTTTATTTGTAAAACTTTAAATTTCCTCGCTTTCCCTTATAGACGGAGTGTGGAGGCAACAGTCAGACCTCTGAAGTAACTCCAGCTGCTGTGGATGGAAAGATCCGAACCAAACCCCTGATTCCTGAAATGTGTTTTACTACAACTGGCTGCAGCACTGACCTCAGTCTTTCAACTCCCTACTTAGAGGAAGATGGAACCAGCGTACTCATCACCTGCAAGAACTGCCACGTCTGTGTTCATGCCAGTGAGTGCCCCTAGGCTCAACCCTAAACTCCAGTGCTCTCTGTAGTGAGTCTGTACATCATAGCAAGCCTCCACCAGTACAAATAGCCCAAGTCCAGCCCTTATCTGAATGGTGTATACTTGAATGCTGCCTGTTAAAAGGTGGAGTTGGCTGTGTGGATAACTTGAAATACACAGCATCATCCTTAGGCTCCTTAATTTTAATTTCTGCTTCACTTCTGGGCCCTTAGGGAAATGGGTCTGAGTTTAGGGAAGCTCTTAAGTGAGATGTGTCTGTCCTAGGTTGTTACGGTGTATCCCCTGACAAGGCCACTGAGGACTGGATGTGCTCCAGGTGTACGGAAAATGCCTTAGAAGAGGTAAAGTTTCTCATAAGATTTTTAAAAGCAGAGTCTGGGTACATCTGGGAACTTGCTACGGAGTTCATTTCCGTAGTGTTTTGGGTTTTTTATTCTCTCCTCTGAAAAGGCAATTCAGAGAATTTTTAGGAAGCGGTCTGTTGTATTTTTTGTACTTTTTAAGCCATAGTGATCATTTTAACTAGTGCAAAGCTGCTGAACTCGCTTGAGTCACAGAGCAGATATTCTGCATGAATGTGGGAATAGCTCCCTTGTCTTAATTTGTGGTAGCTCCTATTTCTAAAACAGAAAGTAACTGTTAACTAGGAAGGTGTGAACTTGTGAACAAGGCAAGAAGAATGAGATTCCCTCAAAAAAACTATATAGACTTTCAGTCAGCAGAATGGATCAGCCTTTTGAATTGTTTGTTCCAGATCCTTTAACACATCCTCAAAGGATGTGGGGCATTGCGGTTGTAAAAGGAAACCACAACAAATAGGTTGAATAAGTGTTCAGTGGTAGGTCTGCTTGCCTTCAGCAGACTTGGAGTCTGTATTTGTTGCCCTAAGGGCAGCAGCTTTTGAGAGCTAAAGCAAAGATCTGTACAAGGTAGTTAGCTCCCTTCTGACAGTGAAACTGTTTGCTTCCTCTGGACATGCATTTTAAGGAGGAAGTTGTGAAGCAAGGATATTGCTCTGGACTCCACTCTTTCAGCTAATGCTTTCTTTCTTGTGCCAGGACTGCTGTTTGTGCTCATTACGAGGAGGAGCACTGCAGAGAGCCAATGATGACAAGTGAGTGTTCCAGCTTTTCTGATCTTAAGGGAGCAGCTCAATTCCTAAGTAGCTGAGGGGGTAAGCTAGTAAAGCTGATACCTGCATTAGTGTAACAGGGTGAGCGACAGCACTTAACACAGTGTGTTACTGTGGGGGGCTGTGGTAAAGTGTGTTCATTGTGTTCACATGAATCATCATCCCTTCAGGTAATGCCTCACTTGCATTCTGTTAACAGCAGCTGTTAATTGCTTTGCATTTTATAGTGCTGAGGTAGAATGTACCACATAAAAGCAGGTTCCTGATGAGATAGCAACTCAACAGTACCTCCTCACAGGGGGTTTTGATTTCTCATGTAATGTGGTGGTGATGGAGACACAGGACAGCCATACCTTTAAGCAGCACAACATATTGAAATTCAGGGTACATCTGCAGCAAGTCCGTTGCATACAACTGCCTGTCCTGCGTCCTTTGTGGTGGATCATCTGCAGGTATATGATGCAAAATAGCAGTGGAACAGACTTTGTAGCACCATGGAGTGACTGAAACATGGCCTCCAGAAAGTTTGTGGACATCATATGGAGCCTCAACCTCTTGCTCAAGGTCTCAAAAGTAATTCAGTAGTGACTGAGCAGTTGTTATGGGACAGGTTTGTGAAGGAGTAAACCTATCAGGTGTGCTTTTGTAATGCAGGTATGCAACCAGCACAAGCCACACTAAATTGCTCTCCTGCTAAGCTCGTTAGTAGCTTAGTAACTTAGTTTTTGGTTTGCCTTATGTGTGCCTTGTCATCAGCAGTAACAGGAAGGAAGGAAGATTACACGACTAGTTCTCGGAGACTATTTACCATGGTTTATATGGCAAACTTCAACAGAACTGTAGTCATTTAAACTCCAAAGCGTTCTCTATTGACCTAATGCATATTTTTCCCCACTTCCATCCTGACAGGTGGGTTCATGTGATGTGTGCTGTAGCTGTACTGGAGGCAAAATTTGTGAACATTGCGGAGCGGAGTCCCGTAGATGTTGGCAAAATCCCCCTGCAGCGCTTCAGACTGGTAAGGATCACCTACGCTTCACTGATGGGGTTTCAAAGTCTCTCTCCAGTCTGTTCAGAATCTGGGGGACTTTGCTTATCCCTCCAGCCCAAGTCATCTCTCATGACTGAAGAATTTGATCTGCTCTATTCTTTGTATGGATAATGGCAGTTGTCTCTGCTGCCATTTCTTTGAACCTTTCCCTGTTCTAGTATATGCTCATTCAGATGAGGAGCCAACAAGAGGGGCAGAGGTTTCAGTATGTGGCAAATTACATTTATACAGTGATATCCTGGTGGCATTTGTTTTGTGTGTTATTTTTCTAATCCCTAGCATTTGTCTTGCTTTATTGACTGCTGTTGACCCCTGAGATGCTTCAGGATACCTGAGGTGTTTGTGTAATGGGTGAAGGTCTTCAGCGAGAAAAAAGCTGTACTTAACTCCTCTTCTAACAGCTCAGTGTTGAGGGGGGAAATTTTAACTGCTTTGCATATGCTAAGAGATTACAGATAATATTGTTTTCCTACAGCAGCCCATCAGGCCTAACCCAAGTGTATTTGGGTCACTGCTGCTAGTGATAGAATTTTAACTGTTACTTCTGTGGTTTGGTTTGTGGTTTTTTTATTTTTAAATTTGGTCTCTAGTCTTTGCCTTTTATTCTAATTTGGTTGCTCATCTCTGTGTAACTTCATAGCCATGTGCTGAAAGGCCCTGTTGGCTTTGGACTGTTGTAGACTGATCTAATCCAGCGTCTCTTGTTGGTAGCATCCTTGGATCACATGCTTTCTGCATGCTGAGGTGGTAGATACTTCATGTACATTTTTCATCTATGGAGTTACTTTAAATTTATTAATTACTGCCTTATCATAAACTAGAACTGGTAGCTTTCTGCTTTTTTAAATCAGAAAGTAGTGGTGCTCTCACAGAGAATAAATGGGACAGTATCAGACACTTAAACCAGCTAGCCTTTTTGGTGGCGTGAAAGCTAATGCCAACCAATAACCTCTAGTTTCCCATCCACAGAAATGCATCTTCTGCAAGAAACGAAGAAAGAGAATTGCAGGTTGCTGTGTACAGTGCTCACACGGTCGGTGTCCCACATCCTTCCACGTCAGCTGTGCCCAAGCAGCAGGGGTCATGATGCAGCCCGATGACTGGCCATTTGTTGTCTTCATTACCTGCTTCCGGCATAAGACTCCGTCTCAGGCAGAGGTGAGTGGGTGTGTGATGCCCAGGATTTGAACTGCAGTGTCTTGGAGGGACTGAGAAGTTTTACATTGTGTAATCTGTTTAAAACTTCATTGCAGGCTTAGCTCTTTTAGAATTTTCAGCATAACCTAACAGTGTGTTGTGGTTTAGCCTGGCAAGCAGCTAAATGTGACACAGCTGTTTGCTTTCTCTCTCCTTGGTGGGGTGGGGGAGAGAATCGGAAGGAGTAAAAGTGAAAAAAATCCCCTTGGATTCTGATCTCAACCCTGCTGCTGCTCCAAGGGATCTTAGTCAGGTCCTTTATTGTATTTTGCTTTGCAGAAGGACTGAGAGCGTTACATCCCTCCTGTGGCTGTTGTGCGGAGGGATAATAGTGGGGTTTATGCTGTGATATTTAATACGCAGGAGTTAATGCTGGGACTCCAGCAGTCTGCATGAATGGTCATAGAATTCCATGGTTAAGTGATGGATTGGTTTCTAAAGTTCCCATTAGCGCTTTTAGCCGTCACAACCACAACAGTCTGTTAGAGAATATTTACTGTAAAGGCCTTGCATTGCTCTGAAGAATGAGAGCTTCATTTACTAAGTAAATTAAGGACAGTGGCATCTAACAGATTAGGCTTTAAACATTTGAAATACCAGAGGCAGAACTTTTCTAAAGATGCTGCTGGTGGTGTCTTGAGTAGGGTTACTTACCCAAGTTAAAATATTTTGCTTCCTTATCTGCCAGCACTGGAGCTATGGTCCTCAGCATGGTCTTTATTGAGTGGTTGTGTAAAAAGGGATTTTTCTCTTCTCAGCGAGCTAAGGCTGCACTCCAGGATCTGTCACCTGGGCAGATAGTCATCAGCAAGCACAAGAACGGACGCTTCTATCAATGTGAAGTGGTCAGCCTTGCAAAGGAGACTTTCTACGAGGTCAACTTCGATGATGGTTCCTTCAGTGATAACCTGTATCCAGAGGATATTGTGGTACGTTGTGCAGTGGGGTCTGGCTCCGGTAGAGGGCACATGATGTGAGCCCATCCTTGCTGCTGCAAAGCAGGCACACCAGGGGGTTTGGTAATTGTTCCAACCCTAGGTTGTGTTGTGGCTCAGGTGTGCTGCAAGAGCACCTCAGGGGTGTTACATGAGACTGACTTCACTGAGGGCTCTCAAGAACAGCTGTAGCAGGGAGCACAGCTCATCTTGGGCTGCTTAGCAGTGGTATGTCTGAAGGAAAGCTTGCTGACACTTGCGTACTCTTCCTACATGAAGTACTTTGAAGCTGGGCTTGCTGTTGGGCTTCAAATACAGATGACATCAAAGGATGTCTCTCAGCCTAGTTCTCCATCCCTAAAACGGATTAGCTGTTGGGGTGATGTGCAGTGTGGCTGGGATGGGTTCCCCTGTGATTTGCTGAATCTTCACATAAGTAAGCTGCTTCCCCTTCTCCTTGTCTCTCCCATCTTCCTCCTTTATGCTGTAGAGTCGAGACTGTCTTCAGTTAGGTCCTCCTGCTGAAGGGGAAGTGGTGCAGGTGAGATGGACAGACGGACAAGTTTACGGAGCCAAGTTTGTCGCATCGCACGCCATCCAGATGTACCAGGTACCAAATCGTGGTCTGAAAATTCATCTTTCATAACAAGCTGATCATGTTAACGTGGCTGTTCCTAAAGCCAGCAGAGCTATGGGGGAGTCACACTTAAACACATCAGGGGAAGTTACTCAGTGCTGTCAGCAATGCCAGATGCTGGTAACAGTTGCTGCAGTTAAGAGCAAAGTGGTTTCTTGCAGCTTTACTTCTATCTGGCTACCTACTTGAGAGTGTCAGCTTGTGAAAGATTGCTGGTCTTCAGTTCTTCAGCAGACTCTGTTCCTGTAGCTTAAACTACTTAAAATAGGTTCAAGTTTGCTTCTCTCTATTCAGTGAGAGTGCATCATTCCTTGCATACTTCCAAAAGGATGAATGTTCAGGCTGTATTAAAGTGACCAGCCAGACTGTTTTGTTAGCTGTTACAAGAATATTCCAAAACTTGCTGGACTGCTTTTACTGTCATGAGATTGGTGAAGAGTTGGTTAAGCTCTGTTGCAGTTTGCATACCTACATGTGTATCTTATAGAATTCAAGTGACAGAAGATTATTTCATGAGCGGCTCCTGTGAGGAGGAGAAGGCAGGTCTGGGTAGCTGTGGAAGGGGTTTGACTTCTGAGACCTCTGGCAGAACAACTCCTATTTTTCCTTCTAGGTGGAATTTGAAGATGGGTCACAGCTGATGGTGAAAAGGGATGATGTGTATACTCTTGAAGAGGAGCTTCCTAAGAGAGTGAAGTCAAGGCTGGTAGGTAAACGGGGTGCAAGCACCTCCTAAAGAAGCTCAGCTTTTTAATTTATCCTTGAACAGCAAGCTGAGTGCATGGCAGCAGCAGATTACAATCTGATGCTCTCCTCAGTCATGAAGTTTGGTAGTTGACCAGGCTGCGAAAGCAAAGTTCCTTCTTGCTCTGGAGAGGCTTTAATTCTTCTGCAGAGATGGGAGTTTATAGCAAAGAGTGGCAGGCACACAGGATGTTAAAGATTTCGGAAAGAACCTATCACAGCTGAATCTCGTGACCAGGTGTTGAAACACGCCTGCTCCATAAGGCACAGGATGTACTAGACTGCTTGAAAGTTGGAACAGATGAGCGTGTTTATTTCTTCGAGAAAGTGACTGTGAACTTAAATTAGCTACTCTGTTAAATTTGAAACCTGTGATTCTTTAAGTGAACTGTAATCAAATAGCTAAACTTATCCCAAGGCTTTTAAATCCACTCTCAAATATTTTTCTTCTCGAGTTCAGTCAGTTTTTGAAGAAGGCTGAACGTTCCCAAGTCTCCTGACTCGGTTCTTTCTTACGTGCAGTAGGAGGATGTGGAGGCAGGGATTTGATCTGTGTTCTCGTGACTAATTCTGGTTTTTCTCGTAGTCAATAGCGTCAGACATGCGCTTCACGGAGATCTTTGCAGAGAAGGAGGTCAGACAAGAGAGGAAGAGGCAAAGAGTGATCAATTCGCGCTACCGCGAAGACTACATTGAACCTGCGTTGTACCGGGCCATCATGGAGTAAGCGCTGCCTGTGGCAGAGGAAGACGATGCCCACCTCCCCCCAAGGATTTAAACGCTCCAGTACAACAGGCCATATTTGGATGCTTCGAATCCAGGGTTTTTTTGTTTTGTGTTTTGGTTTTTTTTTTCTAAGGAAGCTAAAAAGCTGATGCTCTGCAGTAGCTGAGAGGCAGCTGTTGGATAGTGAAACAGATCCCATTTGCTGAAGCTGATGCCTGCAGACTCGTGGTCTGAAGTTGGGTCCTTCCTGAATAAGCCAGCGTGGGGTTGTTGCTTTCATCTCGTCGAGCAGTCTTGCTTTGTTAGAGACAATTTTGGCAGGTGGCAAACTCTTCTGGGAGTTGTAGCCGGGAATCTTGGCAGCTGCAGAATAGTACGGTCTATTATTTTAATTGAATATTGTTCCTGATTTTGGGAGTCTCCCTGGTGGCCACACCTGGGCTTTTGAGCAGGCAGTGTTACTGGTGCTTGAAATTGAACCTCTTTTTATATTTATATCCTTTTTTTGTTGTTGTTGCAAGCAGCTTCAGTCTCTTGTTTCTCAGCACCTCCTTTCTGAGAGTTGAGCTGTAGGCTGTTCAGATCCAAGCAGACAGGAGATGCTTGCGTGAGCAGGTGAAATGTGAAATTGAATCCTATAGGACAAATTATTTAACCCTCCATTTAATATTTTTGTTTTGACTTACTTAATCATAAGTTTATCTGTAATAGTATGTGCCTCAGAATCAGTAAAATCTGTCTGGAGCCCCGCGCAGTGCAGCCTTCTAACAACAACAGGCATTCGGCTCCCAAAGAGTTTCTTTTGAGTTTCTCCCCACCCCCTCTAAGGCAATAATGACCAAAGGGGCAGAGTCCCAGCTCTCCCTTCTTGAAATCCAAGCGTCACAGTATTGGGGATGACAGGGCAGCGGTATCTGAAGCGGTGCAGTACCTCTTCTGTGGCAACACTGTCTGTCGTGTGGCTGCAGGCTTTTGCTCACAACAGCTCATTTTGGGTCTGGGACAGATAAAGCGTGCACTGAACTGCGTGTGTTCCTGGAAGGCTGCGCAGTGCTCTGCTGAGGCAGGAGTGCTGCCGTGTTGCTGTCCGGCAAAGGTTACCACAGCGTTTTTATGGAGTGTTCGTAGAGCACATCGCAGTTGTGTTGGAGAGAACTTGCTACTGCAGTAACAGGAAGCTGAGTTGAGCTGGGTAGTGGGTGTACCCGGAAGGCGTGCCAACTGACTCCTAGTAACTTCAGCGTTAATACACCACAGCAGGAGCTGTGTGGAGACACGTCCCTCTCCCATTCTGTGGGAAAGGGATTTGGGGCTGTGGAGCAGATTGACCACCACCTTTTTGCATGGAATTGAGGTGACTTTTTCTGATGGAGAAAACGATTCTCCAGCACAGTCCAAGAGGAAAATTTTCTAGTGAAACAGACCTAACGCATCCCTGCTTCTGCAGGGACGTGGCAATGTGTCTGCAAAGTCTGGATTTGTAACTTCTTTTTCCTTTTGTTACATAGGAACGCTATAAACCAAACTTCTGAAACCCCGGTGCATCGATTTGTGATTAGCAATAAAATGTAGAATTGTGTAGTGATACAACTCTTCATCAGAAAAGAAATAAACTGCAACTTTTATAAAGAAAATGTTACTAATCCCTACATTTTTATAGGGTCAGGAGGCTGATAGGAGCAGCAGAGATTTGCACAACCATTGTTTTGCATAGCGGTGATCTGTCCCATTGTTGTGGTGGAATACCTCGTTCATCAGTATCGGAAGGCTTAAACAGCTTCTGAAAGGAGGTCGCAGCTTTCCTTGTGGGTTTTTTTTTGTTCTTTTTCCCATGTCCAAAACTCCTGGTCTCAGGGTATTACTTCTTGATGAATGGAGTAGCTGGCTTGATAAAACTAGGATCTGTGTCGCTGCAGTTATTCTGGTCTAGGCAAGGGGAACAAAATTGTACTTTGGGCATCTCAGCTTGTACGTAAGCCTCTCTGAAGTGATGTGCTGTGAGCAAACGTGGAGAAGAGCTGACAGGGCCTTAAACTCGCCTCTGTTCTGTCAGCAAATCCTCAATATTTGGTATTAACTTCTAGGCTGAACACTACCTGTGTGTTACTGGAAAACATGCTCTTTGTATCACCTGCCGTTCTCCCTCCGGAGAAAAGGTGCCTGTGTTCAGACTTTCCTCTCAAACTGCCATACAACTGAGTCGCACCTCTCGGGTGCCACGTGCTGCCTGTGCTGCAAACACCCGGCTCAACAGCTTCATCCTCAAACGATGACCTAGTACGAAACAGCTGGATTTGCTTGGAGTGCTGTCGTTCAGCTGCAGCAGGTTTTGCCACTCACCTCTCCAGTATTGAGTGACTTTCCAGAGCTCCTATGCCTATTATTTGTTGTGGAAGAGAAGCTTTGTTACGCTGCCTTTTCTACGGGCTCCAGATCTGCTCCTGTCAGTTGGCTGCGCTGTGTTTGGAAACCGCTGCCACCCTGCACTCTGACACAAAGGGCCTTCCCAATCCTCCCGTCAGTTCTTGTGCTGCATCGTTCCCATGTGAGCATACTTTACCTACTGCAGTGATCGAACTGCGTTTTGGCTTCTCTCCGTGAACTTTAAAATTGGTGACCCTGATGTTTGAGAGGGGGTCTGTATTATTTTACTTTGCAAAAACAATTGGGTTTATGGCTTGAAGTATAACAGGTAGCAATAAAAGCTCTTTACAGAGCAGCTGTCTCAAAGGTACACATGCTTTCCGTTACCTATACTTTGCTCTTGACTAATAATAGTTTTTCCCAGTGGTTTGTTTTTGGAAGTGTATTTATCCCCGTTACAGCATCATTCCAGTGAGGGCTCAGTGCTGCCAGAGCATTGGCCAGGCAGGTGCTGCTGGATGTATTCAGTAGGAAATGGCACTCAGTGTGCCCCACAGGAGCTCTGGTGGCCCTTCCTTAGGTCCACGGCCTGTGATGCTGCAGGCAGTAGACCTCACTTCACTCTCCATGAAGCCTCCATCTGTGACTGGTTCAGGTTGGACTCGTTAAAAAGCATTTTTAATAGAAACAAATAGTGGCTTGCCCTTTATTCAGGATGAGCTTGGCAAGCCATGGATTACTTTTTATAGGGTTTAAAAAGGTGTGTGTATTCTTTGTGAAGCACCTGATTGCAGTAACATTTCTGCCTGTGACCGGACTTGTAGAAAACCCATTGCTCCATCAGCAGACCCCTCAGATGACCAGAGACAGCAATGGCAGTGGTAGGACCCATTCTCCTTGCTCCTTTTCTCTCTTCCCGGTGTTTTGAGCTGGGTTGAACTCATTCTGCACTGTTTTGAGGAGCGTAGCCACATATCCCAAGGCTTCTGATGCATCTCTGTTCTTCCATTCTCTAACCAGGCTCCTGTTGTCTGACACGTCTGCAGTTGTGCTTGTTTTTCTAATGCAAACACGGGATGAACTCAAGACTCTGGTAGCCTGTATGTTGTTTTCAGTTTGATCAAGTAATAAATCTAATTTCAAAATGGACAATCTGTAGACTAATTTAAGAACTAAAGCACTGTAACTTGGAAACTCTCATCACTTTTGCTGTTAGCGTTATTCCTTTCTCATACTCGTCTCCTTAAATGCTTAGCCAGGGAGCTCTTGAGTGCCTTTCCGAGGTGCTAAGCAGAGTTCTGTTACTTAAGGGCTCAGTCCAACATGACTTTTGGACTGGAACAGGGCCAGAGCCACAGATTCCTCCTTTCCTGTTGAAGTCCAGACCTGAGCCGTCTGCAGTAAGAGCTGAGTCGCCTCAGGTTCCCTCCATAGCAGAGTGGCAGCACCAGAAGAGGACTCACGGGGAAATCTTACCTGGCTGCAGTCAGAGAGCTCTGTTCTGCACTGTGGTGTTGACTCCTGAGTGAGGACTTGCTGAACTGGCAGTCAGGGACAGGAGATCCTTCTGCCTTAGCTCAGGGGTTTTTGTTACTGATACCCTGAGTGACCTTGAGTGAATTGCTTACTCATTGTGTTACTACTTCAGCTCCTGTCTTAGGAGCCTAAAGTGCCAGGTATTCCTGGAGCCAGCTCTTGCCGTTGGGGGAAGTGTTAACATCTCCTTTTCTCTGACAAATCTGTAGATGTTGCACAGAACCTTTAACTGTGTGCACTTAGGTTAGTGTAAAGCATTTTAGGTCCAACATGAACAATATGGGGTATTGCTACAAGTCAAAATAAGCCTTTTTCCTCTTATCCCATAATCATGCTTCTTTTCTTTGCATTGCTGTTAGAGCTGTTCAGCAGCTGTAGAGTTCTCCCTTAGATGAGTGCAGTGCTTCAGGTGGGGCGAGTGTGGTGGTGCTTTGTCGTAGTAACATGAGGCTGTGTCAGTGGTTTCCTTTGGCCTCACCAGAACGGTCTGCAGAGGAATGGGAAGCGTTCACCCGACTGCTGTCCTGTGAGGAACCTGTGACAGATCCGTGCAGAAACATCGCCACAGCCTCCTTGCTGCAGCATGAGTAACGTGACAGTGGAGTCAAAACTGTTCTGACAGCGCCTGGGGAACGAGGGAAATGTGTGGGATGGTACTGGAAAAGAAAAATAATCAAATGGTATAGGATGTGTGTTAACTGAGTGAAGATGGGCTGGTCTGAAAGGAGGTGTCGCTGGCCTGTAATTCTACATTTAAGAAAAGTTTTGCCTTTTATGAATGGTGAATGTGAACACCTTTGCTACACAAACACACTGTGCTACAAGAGAGCAGTGAAGCAGGGCTGCTGTCCGGGCTCGTCCACCTCAGCTGGGGAGGTCAATCCTGCGTGGCGTACCCGGCGTGGGCACCTCACTTTGCAACAGGACCCAACGCCCCAGGAATTGGGATGCCCTCATGTTTATCCACAGCGCTGGCCGAAGGAAGAGCTGCCTCCTCGCAGGCTGTAGGCAAGGTGGGTGCCTGGCGTGCTGGGATGTTTGCATACCCAGGCTGAGGAATTTCACAGAGTGAGGAAAATCGTGTCTTTGCAGCTCAAGAATCTGTACCACTCGTGTCCAAGCACTGTGCTGTGAGGCTCTGTGTACAAGTACACTATAGACCAAAGCAAACTCCTTCAGGAAATAGTTTGGGCTTGATGATCTTAGAGGTCTTTTCCAACCTTATGATTCTGTAATGATTCAAGTCCACAGTCTTGCTGAATTTAGGGAAGCAGGGGATGTGTTGTACCTGTGGACCTCCAGAGAAGCCTCAGACATGGGGATGAGATGACTGTGAATGTGAGTTGATGCTAGGTAATATGCTTGGACTCTCTAAGTGCTGCTGCTTCTCTTGAATACAACATCTTTGCACCTTTAGGGTTAATTTTTGTGCTTATGCTCACAACAGGTCTTAACTCAAACCTCATTACTGAGAGCCACAAGCACTTAAAAGTGACCCAGTATCCTGGGTGCTTTCAGTGTGGGTGGTGGGTGCTGATGAGCTGTAGGCTGCATGTGCAGAGGAGCTATTACAGCCAGTTCTGTGGAAAAAGAGTGCTGCTGCTGCTGGAGAGACAGGACAGAGCAAGGAAGTTGGTGATGAGGGGCAGCTTAAGCTTAGCAGCCTGCCTGGTTGGCGTTGCGGTTGCCTGCGGTGGGTTGCTGCCCAGGCTGCTTGGCTCTGCAGCAGGGACTCAGCTTTAGCTTGTCCAGGCCACGCAGAGCCAGGGCAGGAT